CAGTTGACTAAGGTAAGTCAACTAAGGCTATTGCTAAAAAACCACAAAGCTATTATGGGACCAACAAACATGTTTTTATTTATGACTGTTTACTAAGTAGGGCTTTGAAAATGGTAGCAGTGTTTGTAGCTGTTATGTTGGCCATACGCTAATAGAATTTAAATAAAAAGTTTCCTTTTAAGATTTTGTTAGATATCTAGAGATATCCTTCCTGAGATGTACTTCCTTCAGCTTCAATCCAGTGGATCTTAGGGTTCACTGAACCCTATAAGCTGTGCTCAAGATGTGTATGCATGGATTTCGATAATTTTGCTAAGAACAACAGATGTGAATAAGATATTTTCTACTAAAAAAAAAAAAAAAAACACTATCAGAAGGGAATATCTGACTGCCTCTTGGGGGGTCAGGAAGGAATTTTTTCCCCTGCAGGAGCAACTGGATCATGCGTTGCTGGTTTTTGTGCCTTGCTCTGGATTAACTGTGGGTATAGGATTATAACTTTTTTTTTTTTGGTTGAACTGGATGGACTTTTGTCTTTTTTCAGCCAGACTAATTATGTAACTATGTAGAATCTACAGTACAGAGAGTACAAGGCTACATTACCAATGCAGTAATGCTTTACGATGGAGAGATGCATCCACTATGTAAACCCTAATTTAGGAGTAACTTCCTTTCCCTTGTTCGTTGCAGACTGCTTGGCAAAACAGAGTACATTCATAAATTTGTTACAAAAGTTACAAATAATTGTATCGTAGAGCTTGTTACTTTATCTTCCTTTGCTACAGCTGTATAAATCTGCATATTGTATGCATCTAGGCTTGTATGATGTAAAGTATATGTAAAATCACATATTTATCATAATTATTTGAATTATAATATAAAAGGGAATGTCCCAGGATGGATTTTTACAGTAGCAACTTACATGTAATATCACTTATAAACTTAACAATAGCTGACCATTATTCATAATGTTCAAGCCTACCTTATAATTATTTTATTATATTTTTGGATAAAGTAAGCAAGACAAACACAAATGTCCACATTCAAAATTTAGATTTACCCTCATTTCAGCCCCGGTAACAAATACAGACTGCTATAAAACATGAGCAAGTTTTCCTAATCTCAAACAAGCTTGCAGCCAGTCAGAAAAACAAAAACTCAGCACTGCCTATCTGCATTATTACTGTAGATAAGTTAACATAGGAATTAAGTCATTGGATTTAGGTGACAGTCAGGACAGTAATAATTTTCAGAAGAAAATGCCAGTTAAGAGATTTGTACTTCTTTCAGCACAGAAATACCTTAAACATATGATCGTTGATACTAAAAAGAAAATTTAACTTTTATTCAACTGAATTCTGGACAGGCCAATGGGTGAAAAGACTGATTTTTTTTTTTTTTTTTTAAGTCCGCAAACGTGGAACTATATCGAAAAAACCCGTAAGTGTCCACAAAAAAGTGCAAGTGCAAAACACCACACGAAAAACGTGCACTTAGGGGTGTGTTTGTCCTACCCCCGAAAGGGTTGGACCGTTCGCCTGATCCCCCGGGGCACGAAGCTCCTGACAGGGACAAGGTTCCCGTTTGGTCCTCCTGGCCAAAAGGCCTGGTGGACCACCGTTCCTTATGCCCAGCCGAAGCCGGACATCCAGTACTAGGCGAGGGGGTTCTCCCGAAGAGAAAAACCCCCTAGGGATCAGGGAGGAAGGAACCGTATGGCCACACATCCTCCCCCTAGACTTCAGGTTAGGCCCGAGGACCCACACCCTCCATCCGTGAAAACACACACATAAGGCAAAGAAAAAGTGACAAACGTGGGAGTGATAATAAATAAATAAATAAGAAAAGTAAGAAAAAAATAATAAAAATGGTACCGTGCCGAAATGTGCACAGACCAGGCCCTGAGGCCCGTAGCAAAAATTGCCCTGGACTTAGCCAAAAGGCCTGGTCCTTAGGGCGCTGTGCAAAAAGAGGTGTAAAAACAGTGGCCAAGTGTCATCTTCACACCGTGGGGTCCCCACACCCAAGTGTTACTAGTGACACCCCTGAGCGCGTCTCCTCAGGGGGCACTGAGTTTGCGGACTTTTTGCCTCCCCAGCCCTGGGGTGAAAAGACTGATTTACGTTGTTATTAAATATATTTTAAAAATATTTCCTTTTCTCTTAAAGTCAAAAGCACTGAAATTCTCCGATTACACTCCCTTCAGTCTACTAATGGCTACTTGAGTGCTATGATAAATATGACTGCTGCTCACTGAAATCAAAAAAGTGGCAAGGATGATTTTTTTCCAACACTATGATAAAAATTACAACAGTTAATTAAAGATAGGGAGAGGTAAAATAGTTCCTTCACTTGGAAACCAAAAAGGTATTCTCTCTGAAGAAAAAATGACAACTGGGATTTGCTTGCTTATTAAGTAGATACTAGTTCAGATCCTCACCTACCTGTGCCACTGCATGTAGGTATGACATGCTCACAAAACTGGAATGCTATGAAAACTCACCTGTACTGACTGAAGTTTTGTGACACTTCCCTATACCAAACCTGCATAACTGGTACAAAACATTCCCAATAAAACAAAACAATAGTCAGTGAACAGCTCAGCGTATGTATATGTAGTGTCATATGAGCCAATTTAATAAAGGAATAACTTTCACTACATACTATCTTAATTGTAATTACTCAACCAGTTTCAGAGGAAATACATGGAAACAAATGGAATAAAGAAGATTTCCTCTGAACCTGACTAGGTATTTATAATGATTATGTTACACTGAAAGGTACTACTTTAGTAAATCAGTCTCAAGGGTCTTTTCCCAGGAACTATTATACTATTATAATCTCTTGCTTAAGTTGAAGTCCAGGAAACAATTTTTATTTAGCTCCTCTCTGTGTGTTTTCTACCCAATAGCTAATATACATTGAAAAATAGACCTCTATCCTAGCTTTTGTTTGTTTTGAAAAGAGTGGGGATAGGTTAGAACATTTGTCAGGTTAACATGGCATCCATAAATTTATGATGGCGCAACCTTAAATCAATAATCATGGAAAATGACTGGATTTTCCCTTTGCTATTTACAGAAACAAGCAAGGGCTGGTTATTTGCATACAGTCACTGGAAATCAGGTTAAAGTTCTTCCTAACATCTCCATATGAGTGAAAGAAACACATGCTCTGAAGACATATAAAGCATGCTTCTAGAAGAGCTTTCATTTAGCTTTACATATTTGCTTCCAAGACTCCATATCTGCCCTGAAATCAATGGTGCTTAATTATGGAAATAAAAATTAAAGATTGTAAATTTGAGCTATAGTATACCCCCCAAAACAATATATAATTCTTTGTGTGCAGTATGTAGGTCTATGAGCCTGCCCTCACTCTGCTTACTGCTTCTTTCTGGTACCTGATACATCCACTATGATTCCAAAACTTTACAGTTATCCCCGTAATGGGTCTCTGAAGATCACCTGACTCTTCAGTGCTCTGCCTTACACCTAAACTAAATTCTGATTTACTCCTATTGGATGCTATGGATTGTCTACTTATTTGTTGATTAAACTGACCTCTAGTATGGGGTTTGTGAGCTTTATGTTAATCCTCTATCCTCCCTGAGTCTGATATGTCCACTATTTGTGAATCTCCATCACGCACACACAGGATGTTGGATCTCATCCTTTCTCCTGGTTCACACCCACTGAAAGTGACCTCCAGGAATCCTTACTATGGGATGTCAGATGAGGCCATCTTACAGATGTCTTCCTCCACTAGAGGCAGAAGACAGGCAACACTGCTTTGCATTGTTGTTGATTTAGGATTTATCTACAGCTGTTAAGAGATTTTAGTAATTCTTTTGGAGTGTATGTAAAGTGATGTAAACTATCATATAGACTAGACTTCACTGCTGCTACATATGGCTGCTCCTATGTAATGTTAAAAATGTAAATCCTTGATTGCTATGTTTATTTATTTTAGTTATGATTAATTGAATGACATTTATATAGAATGTGTAAAGTTATTATATTTACCCATTTAAAGTACTGAAAGTACTGAAAAATACCTAGCCTTCCAGAAATGCAGTGGCTTCCTGTAGTGACCTGGCAACACTGCCTCTGTTGAGTTTAACCTCTTTCCACTGGAGGTAAACATATATACAGCCTCTCAGTGGGTGGGCTTTAATACCCAGAGGGAGCATATATGCGGCCCTATGCAAACACTTTTTTTTTCTGCTGAGAGCGAGCTCCTAGCATGGTTACCAGTTGGGACCAGAAAGCTCCCAATGCATACTTGCGATCGGGAGCTTTCTGATCATGTGACCTTCTTTCCCTGATATTGTTTTACAACAATGATTTTTCTCTCTCAATCCTTAGACAATAAAACATGTCAAATTTAAACTAAACACACTTTTTTTTTTCTTTCTTTTTTTTGAGCAGTGTTAGTTTACAAATAAACAGTGTTACTGCAGGGGAAAAAAAACAACATTTTATTCTGTAATTTGTCCTACACAAAAAATTGTCAAAGTCTGCAAACAAGCAATGTTGCAAACATATTTGATAAGCTAAATTAATTAATGAAGAAAACCGTCAATGAACTTGAACAATCTATTAAACAAAATTAATTGGACTTGAGAAATTTCAGTGGCGTTCATATTATTTGAACTCCTTAAAGCATCAAAATCTATGTTTCCTTCTTGTTTTTGCTGTTAGCATTTGTTCACACTATGAACCGCATGTGAATTGTTCAGGAACAGCACCACATTCCTGTGCGATTCACATGCGATTCAGTGCAGTGCAGTTTGAACCCATTCACTTTGAATAGGCTCAAATCACACTGCATAGCACCAAAGCAGTGCAGGAACCTTTTTTGGAGATGCACTGGAACCTCATCGCATGGTCGTTTTATACCATGGGATCCTGTGCAAGCAAACTGCATGTGCAAGTATGTGCAAGCAACTGCGATTGCAATGCGTTTAGTGTGTTGTCAACTTTGTTTTGATACCCTCAGCCAGGGGCGGACTGACCATTTGGAAACTCGGGCACTGCCTGAGGGCCCTGGGTCAGTAGAGAGGGCCCCATGAGATGCCCCTGGTACCCTTTTCATAGGCTTTTTTGAGTTTGGGCAAGGATACAGGGTGCCCCATGATCCCCTATTGCCCGGGGGCCCCATGAGTTGTCAGTCCGCCCCTGCCCTCAGCAGATTGCAAACACAGTGTGATTGCAATGCAGTGCGGGAAATGTGCAGGGATCGCTGCGTTTCTCACATCGCATATATGTGAACCTAGGCTTACTGTACAGTATGTGTAGCATTAGTAAATAATAATAGTATAGATTGTCAGTATACCAAAATGCTAAGAAATTATATTGCAATATGTATTACCAAAAGAAAAAGTTTCAGTTGCTTTCTTTTACAGTAAAAGCTTTGATGTTTATGTTTCTAAAATTGTTTAAATAACCAGTTGGATATTGTATTAGATAGTTAGCCTTGTGCCAAGAAAAAATTAAATTTCCCATATTGAAAAAGTGATATCAAAAGGAAAGGTGTGCAGTCTTGGAGTTGTAACCCCAAAAGAAATCCTGCAGCTTCTGTGTTGAGCTTCCCAGACTGTCAGTATTTTAAAGGGGAAGAGACACATATTCTGAGTTTAAAAAAAATCCAGAACTTGCACTTAAAATCTCATAAATATTGTATTTATTGTCATGTGTAAAACAACATTACCACATCTTGCATTTTGTAATAACCGCAAGGTATTTTATACTACTTTAATCTCATATGTAATATAACTTGCTCATTTCACTGTGTATTAAAATTTGTGATAATTGACTATATCCCACACCATCCTGTTGAAATAAAATTTCAGAATTTACAGGGCAAGAGGTAAAAAAAAAAATAAATTGACTGTGGAAGAAAAAAATGTGTGTATAAATATGCCAATAGATACTTACCACATGCAGGCTGATGCATAGTGCCCTGATACTCTGTACTGGTTATGTAAGCCACAGGGGTCGGATTTGCAAAATTTCTCTGCTACATAGAGTATGGGGTTGGGTAGTCCTCTCTGCAGACCATCATAGTAAAACTCATCATAGTCTGATCCAAACTTCCAGAGAAATTGCTCATTATAATCGATGGTCTCATTTATCTGATGAACAGGATTTCCTTTGGATATAAAACAGAATGTAACATTACACTGAAACGTATATTTTAAGTTATATGTATTATATCAATACCTTTAGTATAGTTAAGAAAGGTTATTACTCAGGATGGATACATTTCATGTGATATTTTTATATATGGATTGAAAATATTCGCCTTTGAGAAATTTGAATGTAGAAAATTATGACCAATTCACTACTGATGTTTTCTGAATGATACTAGTTTTAGCTTACATCCGAAAAAACATAACTTGTGTTTAGCCTTAAAGGAGAAGTATAGCCAAAGCTATGTTGGATATACCTCTACTGTAGGTCACAGAAGTGCATTTTGATTTGAATTCCTGTGACCTATTTTCAGCTGAGAGTGGGTTAAATTCCACTGTTGGCTGAGGTCACTCAGCCCTTCCAGGCTTTGAAAAGATCTCAACCATATGGTTGGGATCCACCCAAAAGCCTGGAACGCCACAGCACTCCAGTGAGTCCTGGAGTGCAGAGCAGAGAAACGGGTACTGACAGTCAAGACTCTCTGCTTAAAGTGAAAAGGGGGAAACTGAGCAATCAGTGGTGTTTGATCAATCAGTTCACACTGCAGACCCAGCAGGGGACAGATGCAGCATTGGATCGATGCTGCATCCACCTAGATAAGTATAATTTTTCTATTTATATCCATACTTCTCTTTTCAATATGTCTCTTTGAACGAAACTATTAGGCCAAGTGACCAGATTGCAAACTGGTCAAAATAGGTGCAGACCAGTTGGCTTAAAATGGCCGGGTCATAAGTTCTAACCAAAGAGATTTGATTGATCAGATCAGAAGCTATTCAACAATGGACATCAGTGCATGGTTCTACCTGAAGCTTATGTTTATAGGGAGCACCACTGAGCTAATTTATAAGTGTAGTTTAAGGAAGTGGCAGACACCACTTGTTTCATCATTTTAAACTTTCTTTCCTTTTAGGTTTTTAGTGGGAAGTTATTAGATGAGGTGCACAAGTCTTTTGCCACATATACTGTATACGTAGACCAAAGCCAGTGCTTCTCAGCACCAAGATTTTGATGCTAGTACATCTCAGATAAGAACAGATAACTTTCCTCACTGATAGTGCCAATGCCTGTTGGGATATGTACCGTACATGTATAGTTTTATAAGAGAAAATGTTGTCTTAGTAGTTATAAATAGTCAAAGGCTGCAGAATTGAAATTTAGATTTGTGGATGATACTGAATTTTCTAAGGGTGGAATTTTCCACTTAGTTTTGTGCCCTAGCTGTGACGCTAGTGAGTTTTAATTTTTTTTGTGAATGAATTATACTACCATCAATTTTAAGTTCTGTAGTGATATGATTAGTTTGGACCACTATGATAAATATTATTTTGATAAGATTTGCTGCATTCAGGAGTACAGACATTACTGAGCTGTGTCACACGGGTGTTTTTCCACTTGCAACAGCTTGCCAGCAACAGGGTCTCCACTAATGTGACATGGTCCTAATGTGATCAAATTTTTATACTGGCAAAATATCAGAGAAAAAAATGCCTTTATCACCTTTAAGACTATGATATTAATACAAAAGTATTGATGTTTCCCATTTAACAGATGGAGGAGTTTTGCCTGTGTCTTTAAAAAACCTTATTTGCATAGTCAATTTTTCAGCTAGCCTTACCTTTTAAAGTGATGTTAACGCCACTCAGACCAACATTTATCCCAATGTCTGCATTCACCACAACACTACTGAAAGACTTATATGTAGTTGTAGCATTGATTGATCCAACTTCCCAGTCTGCTGTAAAGTTAACAGCTGTAGAAAAAAACAAATGTAGTTAGAGAAGTTAGAGTAAATGTCCAAGAAACTGATTCTGTAGCTGCTCAAGAAGGAACCAAACTGTGAACAACAAAAGGGAGTGAAAAGAAGAGGGGCTCAAAGACCTAGTGCATTATCCCAGGGTAACTGGATATAATGAAAATAAAATGTGCACTTTCAAAAGAATAATAAAAATGCACTTATCAATAGCCTTGCACTTAAATTCTGTATAAAGACAAACCAGGGGCACACAGAATAGTGCAAAAAAAAAAAAACACAAACTGAAAAATCGCAATAAGGTTTGCAACCAAAGTTAAAAATGAGAAGAAAGCGTATCTGTAGCTGATAGCAGTACAGTGGTAGAAATAAGCTCTTCAAATCATGCAGAGATGTATGGAACACTGTAAATCAATCTTGCACCATGGGACACAAATGAAGAATAAATAAAACATACCTTTTCCTTATGCCTTTGTGAAATATGGTTTTATCTGTTGATGACCATTGATTTATTAGAGGGCTCATTTTTATTTACAGATTTATGTCCCATTGGTTCACAGTATACATCTCTGCAAAGATCTGAAGAGCACCCCTTCACCAGTTTTGCTGCTTACTCAGTTACATGTTATTTAAATTGTTAATTGTGAGTCCACTTAATGATCTTTATAATTGTCAGTGTGGTCACTGTGCACTTGATGACCTTTTTCTCTACGATTCAATACTGCTGATAATTGCATTTTTATTATCCTTTTATGAGTGAATATTTTAACATTTTCATTTTGTCCAGTTTCCCTGGGACAATACACTAAGTCTCTGCATCCCTCTTTTTTTCTCTTCAAAATCCAGAATGGAATATTCAACCTCCTTCCTGTGGCGGAAGCTAGACAATTTTAGAAAAACTTGGATCTATTGGTAAATCAATTTATTGCTAGAATTACGATCACTCAGTTGAAGACATGTTAGCCACATAAACTGTCTTTCTAAAGATCAGCCTTACTCATATCCCACACAGACTACCTAACCCCCCCAACCTCCTCTTTTTTCCACCCCTTCCCCCACTATCTTCTTGCCCGCTCAAACCCCAACCATGACATGACCATATACTTCACACTCAAAATGTACTTGTATTAATGAAATGAACTCTAACTTGTACTTTATTTTTTTGCTCATAAAAATAGGCAAAATATCAATGCTGATATTTTGATACTTACAGACTTTATGTTACCTCTCATTAGAGCCCAGTTAAATGGCTGATGCTTCCAGATTTTCGGGGGTAAAAGTGTCTAGCTCTCCTTCTCCAACAAGCAGTGATCAATACAAGATTGGTGAGTAGCCAGACTGTTAGCCCTGTGCAAGTTCCAACCCAATCTGATATCTATATCTTACAGATGACACTTTTTGGGGGTGCTGGCAAGCACAAGGGGTAATATTGAAGCATATTTAATGCAAAGATCAGGCTATCAAGTACACCTGCTTTTTTGTACCAGACACCAAAGTACAGGTTTGCTTTAGTGTAACACAAAAGGTTAACATTTAACCTGACCTCAGCTACCTAACCCTGACCTTATCCTAGCAGTTACTTTTGAACCAAAGCAGAACCTTAGCCCTAAATTTTAAAAATATTTTTCCTGGGTTTTTCTGTCTATAATACTACAAAAGTCTAATTTCCAAAAGACAAGTAACATTCTTACCAACAGTTACAGCTCCAATGAACAGGCTTATTAAGACTCTAAAGGTCCAGGATATTCTCTGTAAATAAAAAAATGATTTTTTAATTTTTTTATAGAAAATTATATATAATTTACAAAGAACAAGTGAGTGTATTTATATAAGGCTGCAACTAAATATTTTGCACTTAATACTGACAATGATGCAACAGAATCCAGGTTCAATCAGGTTGCAATGATGCAACAGAATGTAACCCCTTAATAGAACTACACAGAATTAGAGGACTACATTTACCAAGGGTGCCACCATTTTGTGCCACTGTAAGGAATTGGACCTGAGAAGCGCTTTCTTTATGATCAGACGTAACTTTTAGTAATCTTGCACGCTGGAAAAAAAGTACAGAAAGGCTTCTGAGACCACAAGCTATTGCCTCACGGGTGCAGTTCAATAATAGATAGTGTGACAGTGCTGTGCCTTGTCACGGTGTCAGAAAAGTTAGATATCACCCAATGTTCTCACTTATGCAAGTTGAGGGGCTCCAGAATGCCCTTTCTAAGTGGAGAAAACGGGTTTTGCCATTTACTCCAGGATTGGTAACTCCTGAATTGGATTCTTGGAGTCCAGAGGCTTTGTAGAGGGGCTTTGTAGTGATGAATGCT